CATGCTGACTAGTGTTACATAGATGGTTAGTGCTTTCATTCATTCTCAGTCTCTTGCTGATTGTGGCTATTGGTTTGTTCCACCCCCATTTGCTGTGTATTGTAAAAATCAAGAATGATAGATAAGTGGCTCTTCTGTGACAGATAAACACTTCTTATTTTCTTCAGTTTAAAGGATTAAATTCTGCATGCATTGATGGCTTAACATTGTGTTAGGAAAGGAACATAGGCTGAGAGTGGCATCAGTTTAGCTGTGTTTAAACTGCTGGCCATAAATTGGAGCAAATTGTTAACGTCAGAAGATTTGTTTCAGTTCTTCAAATTCTTAGTTCTAGTTTAAACTGCAATGAGGAATGTGTTGGTTTAAGAAGTGTCCACGTCTGTTCCTCTTTCAAAAGATAACGCTTTATAATTTAGAAGAAGCCTTCATGATGAGAAATTCTTAAGCTGTGGGCACTGGGGATGAGGGTGGTTTGCAACTCTGGAAGCCATGGGAGGGGAAGAAATTGATTTCAGGACTAGATGACCTCTAGGGGTCCCTTCCAACCCAAAACATTCTATGATTCTATGATTTTCTACTTTGAATATGCTTGCTGAGTGGTTTATGTAGACCCATTTTAGGTTGCAGTCCAACAGTCTTAAACGCATGTGCAGAGCCTTACTTCTGCTAAGGGAATGGTAACTGACAGCTGAAAAGCAGTAACTTCTTGGTGGTTTTTAATGTGATGACAAACATTCAATCTGAAAACAGTTCTCGATGTGCTCAAGAGGGGAGAATACTTTATCGTTAAGTGTCTGGAAGAAATCAGAAAGTACACCTCTGTAGGCAAGTCTAGTCAGTATAAGCAGTGTGTCCTGCTTCAGATCTTACCTTAGAAAGGTGTTAGAGATATTGAAAAATGCTATCTGTAGATGAAGGAAACAGAAGATAATTTTACTTGCATAGTTTTCAGGGACAGAGGAAGAAAAATGTTCTCTTGGACCAGAATGCATGCCATTGCCACCTATGGTGGCAATGTCATGCCACATAAAGGTGGAACAAGATAATTACGTTAAAACCAGTTTGTCTTTTTCTGAGTCTATTCCTCCACTGCCCTGCTGTTAGCAAGACAAATTTGTCATTTATTGCTGAATTTAACTACTTACAACGTACAGAGCAGAGTATTGTTAAAGATGAATAATGCGGATTTTGAAATTCTTCATATGAGTTTCTGTTTCTACCTGTACTGGAGATGGGTACTTGGATCTTTTCAAAGGGAGGCCTATTACTGCATTTGCAGAGCTCACAGGTTTTAGAGGTATGTTGAAGCTGCTGTATGCTTTTTTTAGCCACATCTACTATTATAATTAAGTATCTCTCTTTACTAACTCTCTTTTAAATCCCTGGAGTGTTATACAACATAATTACCACTGCGGTGTTAAGATAGAGGTAAAGTAGTTAGAACTGTACTTGGACATTTGCTTTGAAAGTAGAGCTTTCCTTATTTTTAAATCAGTTGGCTTCCTGTGAGATACCATGGTGGAAGAATTTGTAAAGAATTGTAAATGTGGAGGAGCTAAAGCCTTGCAAATGAACTTGGGAAGTGTGATTTCTTGAGACACATGCCAAAGAAGCTTTTGGGAAGGGAAGACAAGACATCAGCTTTGCAGTGTGTAAGAAGTGATACGAAATAAATCTAAATAAAAGGCTGTTTACTTGAGTTTCTCTTATTTTTATTGATATGTGGATTCAATGGTAAAAAATAAAAAGGTGTGCTTTGAGGATGTGTGACGTTCCTACTTTTGTACTATTCCTGTCCTCAGATTTTTAATTATTTGTAAGTATTTCAGAACAGAATAAATCAGATACTTGCCTAAAGGTGAAAGGAGAGCAGAGATTTTAGGTTTTGTAACATGCTGGTGATGAGGCTTTCTGGAATCTTACTGCACTTCTGATAAAGTCAAGGGAGGTGCTAGAAAAACACTAGCAGATAGTTCTGTAGATACGTGTAACTGCTTAAAGTGAGTGGCAAAGTTGCAAGATACTCAAGGGACTAGAAGCTTGAATTTGGTTTAATGGAGACAGTAAAAGGAAAGATTATGTGATCAAAATTCAATACTTTTATGTGGATTCTTATTGAGACACAAAGAAGTGTGATTAAAACAGGGGCAGGTATCTGAGAAAACTGCTGTTAGTCATAAAAGAAAAAAAATCTTGAAGATATGTAAAAAGATTAATCAGCATCTGGAAAAACCCAGGATGCGTATAAGCAGATAAATAGCTTCAGGAGTTGTGTATCTGGGAGAATGGTTATGGTCGGATGGGCTAATAAGTTGGGAAGGAAGACAAGCTGTATTCTGTCCATAGTTAGAAGTGAGAGAGAATGAGTGAACAGGAGATTTGATCTAATTATTTTATAATTCAAGTAGTCGTCCTTCAGTTCTGCCAAATACAAGATAAGTGAAAAGAGAGGCTCCTAGATAGTGTATTATACAGAAAGGGAGTTTGGAGACCTGATCAGCAGTTAAAGAAAAACTGGGAATACATGCTTGTTATTTCCCCTATTGCTTCTGAATGTTTCTTCTGAGGTCTTGGGGAAAGTATCTAAGGCAAGAAAGATGATAAAATGCCAAGGAACAGAAGAAACAGTAGCACTTGAGGAACTGATGGTAATGATGAGTTGATGTAGCTTGACTATCCCTGTCCTGATGTTTGTCAGTGTTACCAATGGCTTGAAGGTAGAGAAAGAAGATAAAAACCTACATATGCAAAGAAAACTAAATTTCAGGTGTCTGGTCCTGTAGTGGAGTAGAAAATACTGAGTTAGTAGGTGTCTTCATTCTGTATAATAATGTTTGAGGCGTGATAGATGACTTAGGATTCACACAAGCCAGAATTCAGCAGTAGTCCTCAAGTCAGCTTATACCATCTATGCGTGTTCTGAATGTTTGGATCTACAGTGTCATGAATGTGACATACGAGTATTTTGCAAAGGAAAGATTAAAATAAGTGTTCTTTCTCTCCTGTGAAAACTAGGATATCTAATGTTAGTGATTATATTCTACATGAAAGATACAATTTAAAATGAAATTTTCAGCGCAACTACTCTGTAGCTGCCAAATACAAATAAAAATGACCATGTTGCTACTTATGCTTCAGTACTTCGGCAGACTGCCTAGCTTGTTTCACTGTAGTGTAAGTTAATGGAAAATCTGAAGAGAATGAAAAGGAAACAAAGTCTGCCAAAAGATAATAATATTTGTTCAAAGAGATGTGCTAAAGGGTTTCTTTATGTGCTGAAGCCAGTATAAATACTGTTTGTAGTTCTGAGGATTTTGTGCCCGTTGCCAAAATTGTCAGTGTAGAAGCAGCTGCGGATTTTTTCCTTGAGCTATGATTATATGATGACAAAATTTGTGTTCTCCATTCTAAAAACAGGTGTTAACCACCAAATCATTATATAGTATACACGATTGAATATGTCAGTTTCCAATGGAAAAACAACTTGTTCTTAAATATGCAGAGTAAGTTTGTTAGAATTAATTCAGACTAACTCGGTTGAAAATTGGGTCTGCTGCGTTTCAGAGATCTGTCATTTCTGACACTTTCCCTCTCCCCCTCCCAGCTTTTCAAGCGGTGAAATCTCAGCTATTAATCATTTGCCAGAGAAGAAATTGATTATGAAAGAGAGGTTATATTAATCTTGTCTGTTGCCAGAGTTGCAAGTGACTTCTCGTTTCTGTGGCTTCCTGTGGTCAGATGAAAACATGAAATTTCTGTTTTCAGTTTCATTTTAATTCTGAATATTTTGAAAGCGGTTATAACAATTCGAAGTAAAAGACTGGAATTACTGATACTTGGTTTTGCTTTACAGCCCACTCTATCATAAGTCTTAATGCTTTGGGAACAATGTTTAAATGTTAGTTTTCGGCTTGGAACTTGGTTAATACATTAATTTTAAGCAATTCTTTAGTGATGCTGGAATAAACTCATTGAGAATTTTATGCTAGTTGGGATTCTGTAACTTGTGAAATGTAGCATTTTTTATTCTTACAGCAGCAATTTATATACCAGTTTAACATTTCTAGAAATGAAATACAAACTCTTGTTAAATCTGTGTTTTTGTTAAGAGAACGCTTTGTGTCCATTCTCAGATTGTTACAGTTTAGTGAAACTAACCTGGATTTGAATCAAATTATCCATTTTTAACTACCTTATGTATAACTACTCAACTTCATACTGCAAGTAAATACCTCAAGGTGTGGGTAATACAGGTGTAATTGGTAGAAACAGCACTATAAGTCCACTTGTGACATTCCCTGGTGCTGTGAAGGAGTTTTTCATTACTTTGCAATGAAGTAGTAGGACTTTTGGGTGTATATAGAGGTTGCCCAGATCTGTGATGCCATACTTGTCTTCATTTTTTTTCATTATCTCACTGGGGGTAGTCCGTAGAATAACATTTACTAGTTTGTTGTCTTACTTTGTGCTCAGTAACTGCACCCTTGAGTTGTCATGTTTCTCACTGCTGAAAGACACACCATTTCATTTCCAAATGCTGTAGTTAATCTCATAACTAGCAAATAGTACTGTATAGATGCATTTTTGTATTTTTTTATGTTAGGTACAGATTTGTAATGTTTTCCTTTTGAGGTGCTTTATTGTAAAAAATGAGAACTGTTTTATACACCTTTTAAATTATGTGAACAGTCTTGTAAGTGTTCTAAGGAGCTGCCCATAATATTTACTTCAGTAGCTGAATTCCACAAACAGGATGAGTAGGCAGCAAATTTACAGACATGAAGAAAACATTTAAGATGGGTGCTGCGATTTAAAAAAAACAAACAACAAAAAACTAAACAAAACCAGCGTAGATTTTTCTTTCAAGTTACCCTGATACTCATGAAGAGAGGAAGAAAATAGCATTAAGATTTGGGAAAGATTAGGAAGCGAAGACTTGTCATGCTAGATTATAATATGTTACCGTATTTAATACCTAATATACGTTTTTCCCCCCACAGAAATTAGCAGAGTACGGAAAGACATGTATAACGACACATTAAATGGTAGTACGGAGAAGAGAAGTGCAGAATTACCAGATGCTGTGGGACCTATTGTACAGTTACAAGAGAAACTATATGTGCCTGTAAAAGAATATCCAGATGTAAGTATATCTTTTTAGTACCTAAATTATTTTTTGATCCTTGTGGTTGTCTTTAAATGTAAATTTCATGTGATGCTACCCTTGGATCACACTGAATTGTTTTTGACAAGATACTTCTTAGGGAAGCAGTGTATGTTGCACTTGGTGGCTTGTTTTGTAGCGAGTGTGAGTGGAAAAAGGTTGTGTTAAATACCAAACTAGTATGGATTATAAAGCCGTAGATCTAAGATGCGAATTGTCTTGTTGATTCAGGACTGTCAGTCCTGAGAAACCATGTAGTGAGTTTTATGAGGGAAGTAGTTTTTGAGACAGTGTTTTTTCCTCTTTGTATGTCTCTAAAAGTCAGCTGGAGAATCCTTAGATACCCTTTAGAGACCTTGTGGACACTGTACTTAATCTCCAATTACTGTTTGTCCCATACATATGTAACAAGTTCTGTTGCATCCAGAAGTGTATTTATCTTGGGGTTGGGGTTCCTCCTTGCTTGCATGCCAATATTACATTCCCCACTGCGTGTTCTGTTCTGTTGTACACCTACCTTTTTGAGGGAGAATGCTTTCATTTAACTAGAAGTATTTGGAACTCCTGTGGTCTTGAATGGTTTCTTAAAACCACTTGGGAAAAACAGTCCTGTCAAATTCTACCCCAACCATTTTCATTGTTCACTGTCAAAATAAGAAATTGTGTTATTCCTCCCTAATAGAATTTAGAGGTCCTGTTGCAGTGGAGGAGTGCAGTGTCCAAGTGAGGCATTTGCACATCTAAGTGGTATAAAGTGGAAGAAAGTATGCAACAGCAAAAAATGGAAGCAACACTTGTGTATTTCTGTGGCTTTTCTTTGTTTAATTAATTAGATTAAGCTCTCCAAATTGAGCCTTACCATTTTAACGCTGCGTAGAACATACAGGCCTCTAAATAAAACCCCATTGTGCCATACTCCATTAAGAAAATTAAGTGCAAGTCATTATTCAGAACAGAGTACTTTGACAAATGTCTCTTCACCCTTTTCAGTTTTCACCAAGTTGTTTTGTTGCTTTCGGGTTAAAATACCTGTAGTTGGAAAAGTGTTAAAAGAATTTGCATTGGTGGCAAGGACATCTCTCTCCCCATACCTTCCATTTTTCTTCCAAATTAAATGTACGCGTATGCATATCTATATACACATATGTATATGCATACATATCCCCACATGAAAAACAGTGAGTCTTATGAAACTCCCTCGAATTACAGATTTTTGAGAGGAACCATGCTATGCAATAGTTCTGTAAAGTGATCTAAGTAGCTCTGTATGTAGATATCTGTATATATCTTAGAGTTATATTGCTTATTTGCTTTTTAAAACATAACTTGGCTGTTGAAATGTTGGTTTTATAACTTGACAATGCATCCTTTGAGAAGAGTTGCCTCAGTTATCAGTTGTAGTTTTTACAGAACTTGATGCTTGCTGTACCAGGATCATGAGATTGGAAGAAAAAGGTGTTGGATTTCCTGTAATTATTATTAAGCTTTTCTTCTTGAAATCAAGGGTGTAGTAGCTTAGCTCTTCACTGCCAATTAATTATCAAATGTAATGTAAATAAGCAGGAAAGCATTTGTCTCTAGTTACTGTCAAAGCACTTGCGTAACTTCTGGTGTACAATTTCTCTAGCTACTGCTAGCTTTCTCTGTGCCACAAAAGCTTACAAATTCAGAAGTTGGAGAGACTTGTGATACATATGAGACTTCTATATATGTGACCTGGAATAAAAAGGTAGTTGGTTCTTGTGAGATGATGTGAAATGTTTGTTAGAAAATGTGCAGCTTCTACCACTGCGGTGGTACCTGGTGGTTCAAGCTTCCTTGGGGAGCCAAGCCCAGTGTTCTCTATGTGCTCCTGCCTGTCTACGCGTTGTCTGTGTGTGTTTGTAGCTACTCAGAATGGGATCTGCACAGCCTCAGTAATTGGTTAAGCAATGAGAATACACTACTACATATAAAAAAAAAAAATGTGGTTTTGTATGTAGGCCCTTTCTAAGAACTTTCTGCAAGTTATAAATTAACCTGCTTTGCGTTTTGGGATAGTACAAGCGTTCAGAAGGTCTGGAGTACAGTGATTCCAACTTGTCTTAAAAAAAAAACCCTGTAAAATTCACTTGTAAAGATTAATTTCACCTGTAAAGGTATTTTCATTGTAATCACACAGTATTACGTTACACTTTTTACTCATATCTGGCAATTGATTTAATTGTTATCAACTGCAGGGAAGGCATGCTGTGCAGACTGTCTGAGTGAGTTTGTCTGTATATCTGGTTAATTCTATCACCATTCTCTTCCAGCATACAATCTTGTATACCTTACAAAGACATAAATATGGATGAACTTAAAGATTATTCAGAGAAGAGTGACCAGAAACTGTTTTCTGGTGTAGATTTAGTAATATTTTTAATAACAGAAATAAAAAAATAAAATCAACAAACTTTTATGATGTTCTAATAAACTTTTATTCTGGACATTTTTTTGACTTAAATTATAAGCATATAGATTAGTTGACTGTTGTGAATACTGAATAGTACCATAGTAGCATTTTGTGCACAGAATCCTAAATTAATTGTGAGGCAAAAAAATAATGGTCTGTTGTAAATTTAAACAAACTTACGTTTTATATATGTATACGTAAACATATATCTATACATAGATGTATAAAAGATGAAGCAGTAAATTTTCATAGCCTACATCACTTTGATGTTACTGTTTGACTGTCCTTTGAGTACCTACACAGAAGAAAGAATATATAAAATTGAATTACAGAGCTAAAGTAAATACATAAAATCCCTGAAAGTCTCTTAATAGTTTATTTTTTATGAGTGCACATTGAGTATTTTTATTCTAAACCATAGTTGATACAAGGTTCAACTTCCCAAAAAATTGTCTGAAACACCCAGTAGTTTTTAAATGCTGACTGCATAAAGTCTGCATTTCTACTTCTGTACTAAAGTATAAGACATACAAAAATCCTGCTAATTTTCTTTTGTATGTTGTATTAATAAGGAACACTTTCCCGTGATGTAATTGCAGTCTGATAAATTGCATAACTGTTGGGGTGGTCTGCTTTCTGGCTCATTTTTTTTTTTTTCCATTGCAAGCTATAGTAATGTGATTGTGTATATTTGTGTATATAATGTTCTTCTGGCACCTTTGGAAGGTGTTAGATCTTCATAGAGATTTTAGTGTTAAAACTGAGATTTGAACTATTTAGCTTTTCTGAACCATGCATGTGCTCCTGAAACTTGAGAGAGAAATTGTGCAGAAGGCCCCCAGAAGATTAAATTCCATTAGTTGTCCATAATTTGCCCTTCAGTTAAAAATGTGTTCTCTCTGCAGTTAAATCTTTGTATGCTCATTTAAGTCTTTGGTGTTACAGTTTGAAGGCAACTCCAATTCATGGAGAAGTATCTTCCATCAGAGTTTAAAAAAGTAAGAAGAAAAGATGTCTGGAAAATTATTGAGCTTTTAGGAAGCAGAAGAATGGAGGATATGCTATTGTTTGTGGGTGAATAGTTAATAGTCTTTAGCATTTCTTATGCTTCGGATAAATGATTAATTTTCTTGAATTTCCCTAAAGAGCTGAGACTAAACTTTCTGTCTGATATCAATTTAAACAGTTTTTGGAATTAGTACCTACAAATGTTAGACTGAATAAATGTTTTTCTATTATAATCATGGCTTTATTATTAATAAGTACCCTGTTAGCTCTGATTAATGTGAAATTCTCTGTTGGAACTCTTCTGTGCCTCTTCAGTAAAAATGTAAGAACTCAGTAATTATCGCATCTAAAGTAGCATGTCCTTTGAGTATACTGAAGCTCAAAGGCCAGCAGTGATAAACAGCTTGTGCGTACTTTCTGACCATTTTAGTTAAAACTGTTTAATTAGTACAACAGAACGATGAACACAGGGATTCATTTTACTATGGGGAACTTACTGACAAAACGTTTAAATCCTTTTTCAATTTGGTAATATCAGAGTTTAATAGCATCCCTAATATGGATTAGGAAAATGATAACATCCTATTTATTTATTGTTCTGATTCTTTTACTTAAGCTCTTCATTCCCTAGTGGTAAACAGGGAAGGAGGCTAAAAGAGCTGGTCTTGTTTACCCTTGTGATAGGAAGGAAAGGGAGAATATAACTGGTCTCTGTAAATAAACTTGGGCTACAGAGTACCAGCACGGTTGAAGAAAGATTTGGCAAAAGGTCAACTACTGGTACAAGTACAAATGTGTATGGAAGAACTAAAATAGTTTGATTACTAATTTTCAGTCTGAATGAGATATTTGGAAAAAACATAGTAGAAGTAGTGGGAGCAAGAAGTTAATTTTGAGTTTGAACTTTACGTATTTATGAGAGGCTTTATGCACTCTGGTTGTAAATGGCAAAGGAATGGATTAATTAAGAAAGGTCCCCTTCGTTTAGTTGCTAATAAAGTGGAGACGCCTTAATATTTGTATGAAGGTTTTTTACCCTTTCTGTCTAATGTTTTATTGGATTTCCTTCCATTACTGACAATCTGAGTCACCTTTTGAAAGATAAGTTCCTTTTGAGCTGTGATTCACACTCAGTAGCTTGCTTTTTTTTTTTTTTTTTTTTGGTAGCACCTTGCTGATCTTTTGAAAGAATGGAACTATTTCTTTACATCTCTTTGGAGAGATTCAAATTCACCTTTTGAAAGATAAGTTCCTTTTGAGCTGTGTTTCCCACCAGGTGGCTTGTTTTTTTTTTTTTTTTTTTTGGTAGCACCTTGCTGAAAGATGACATACATTGTCACAATTTTATTCAGAAATAACCCTGTCAGATCTCCAGAGCATGTTTGTCCTCAGAGGTAAAAGGGTGGAAGACAGTCTAGAATACATAAAAGAGAAAACCCATATCCTTAGTCTATGATGGTAATCTTGCATGCTCAGCGTCAGTTCAGCAGTACTGATGAACTTGATCCATCTTTCATACTTGTGAGAGTTCTTCCTT